CCAACCCAAATTTCAGATCAGTGAGTAAAATTAAAGTCAACGTATAATCTGTTAATAAACCTTTCATCAGACACCTAAAAGCTTCGAAAATAGTGTCTTAAATAAAACGAAGACAGAGCTCGCTACCAAAACATCATCAAATAACAAGAAGAGAAACTGACCGAGAAAGGGTTAACTTCGTCTTCTTCTTCAGCGAATGGGTTTTCGTCGTAACGACCAGCCATGGGTTTAGGATTTTTTTTTTCTGCAAAAGCTTTTAGAAAAAAAAAGAAATTGAAAATGGGATAAATATAAATGATGAAGATCTAAACTAGAGAGAAGAAAAAGGAAGAAGCTTTTATAAGAAGCTAAATGAAAACTCAAAGTCAATAATTTTATCCCTTTGAATAAGTTTTGTGTTCTTACAGAAATAAGAGCGAAATTTTCTAGAGAGATAAAACGTGGTTTCGCGGTTGAGGAGATAGAGAGGGGAATAAAAGTTGGACATTTCGGTTGACAGTTTTTGTTGGAAATATAAAGTAGGATTGAACAGCGGGAAAATAAAGTTACTTTGGTATAACACAAATATAGTCCTTAATATTTATAGTTTTATCAATTTAGACATGATGTTTTAGTTAAATTTAGTCTCAACAATTTTTTTAATTAAATTGTTCTGATTTTAATAAAAAAACATGATTTTATGGTTAAAATTTAAACATCGTTAATAAGGTCACCCGTGTGGCACTGGTAACTATGTGTATTTTGTTATCTACGTGCATAAATTAATAAAACGTTCAATAAATTATTTATAAATATATTATTCATTTGTACTCATTAATTAAATTAAATAAATACAAACAAAAATCTTATGTTCACTATTGAGCAAATAAGTTTGAAAGATGTGTGACTCTTTTATTCTGTTTATGAATTTGTTTATTAACTCGTTAAATTTAGAATGATGTAGCGATTTTTTAGAAAAAATTATACTTAGTATCACTTAATTGTGAGTTTAATAATAAATATATTTTTTAAAATTACAAATAGATTATTAAATATTATATGAAATAATGATGTGACATGATAAAATAATAATTGTAGTTTTTAAAAATTTATATAGATTATTAATTTAATCCTAATCTATAATAATTTAATAAAGGTAACTCTTCATATTTAAATATTCAATCATTTTAATCTTTGTTCTTCTCCTAAATTGCTTATTTTTCTCCTAGAAATATTACATTATTTTCCTGTTACTTTTCTGACATAACATAGTTATCCAACTAATGTTGATCCAATAGGTTTGTTGGTTTGACAGTTTCACAAAAATACTAAATTGATGGAAATTTTTAATATGAAGAGATAAATTTATTGAATTATTTTTAATTGGGATAAAATTGATAGAATATATAAATTTCAGAGGACAAAAAAGTTATTATACCAGGACACATTAAACTTTCATTTCAATTTTAAGGACTAAATAATTTACTTATAATAATATTTTTAATTGGGCAACATGTTTGAAAATAGTTTTAAAAAAGTGGCATGTTGGCTCCTAAACCCATAAGGCCACAATTAAGTGACCTTGAGTGTAATTTACCCATTTTCTTATGAGTTGTTTTAGTTTAATTGAAACCGTACATTTTTTTTATTCGGAATTTTGTCACACGAGAGAATTGGAACCATGGTTTTTAGAACCGGATCGGTTAGCGAACCGATTATATTATCGGTTCATTGGTTCAACCGGTTGAATCGGTTCGATCGGTCGAAAGAATCGGATGACGTCATAATTATTTAAAAAATTAAATAAAAATATTAAAAATATTTAATAAAAAATAAATTTTTATATCACAAGTCATATTCGAAGCAAGTCATAACATATATAAGTTAAAAACCATAAAATCAAGTAAAACAAAATGATTCAAATTAACTACAACATAATATTAAGGTAAAAGATATTAAATAATAAATATAATTATATAACTATAATTAAAAAATAAATTTGGGGTTAAAAAATCATAACAAAATGATATTGTTTGGTTTAATTTTTTTTTTAAAAATCCTACATGGATAAAAAACATAGAAGAGCATCCCAAAAGTCTAAAGAGTAAAAATATGAGAACAAAACAATCTCACATTGCTAAGAAACATAGAAGCGCATCACAACTAACTTCTATAAATAATAGAGGTAATTTGACATTCAAAATCATGGAGTCTTTTGGTGAGCATTGAGTGAACTATTCTTTCACTTCAATCAAGCTCGAATTTTAGGCTTCAATTGAGCTTCTAATTTTTTTTGAGTTCAAGTTTCAATATTATATTTCGAGTTTGAGTTGAACTTGATAATTTTTAGCTTGTGAGTTTGAGTTGAGTTGAGCTTACTTTTAAAGTTTTCAAGTTCGAGTCGAGCTCAGCAATACTAGAGTTCGACTTGGCTCGTTTAACAAACGACGTTGTTTGGTTTAATTTTTTTTAAAAAAACAAAAATCCCGGGTTTTCTCGGTTTTTTCCACTTTTCAGCCGGTCCGGTTCGAACGGTTCAGCAGTTATGGCCGGTTCACTAATAGCGGTTCAACCAGTTTAGATTGAACCGGACTAAGCAACGGTTCCCGGTTGAACCGACCGATCGAGTCCGATTTTCAAAACAGAGGTTAGAACTTCAGGGTTTTTTTTTCTATCGATTCGTAAGGTTTTGTTTTAATTAATTTATATTAATTTATGTCGTATATTTATATTAGTAGATAGATTTTTTACTATAAATTTTTTATACATTCAAAATATCAAATTTTAAATTTACTTAAGTAATATCAAATTATTTATCATTTAAATCAACCCTATTAGTTTCAATTAATTCTCTTTAATACTCCCTTTTGAGTCCAAATTCACAAATGGAAGTCGAACTTTTTAATTTCCAGGAATTTAATTAACTGTTATTAAAGAACAAATCAAGCGTCATTTAATAGTTAAATAAAAGTAAATATTTATAAAAAATGTTAAGTTAAAATTTTCACTTTTTAAAACATCTAGAAGAGCCCGTGGTTGAATAAAAAATGGTGTAGACCAATGAAGTTGGAAAATTCAAAATGAATGAATTAATTCATTAAATTTAGGAATTAAATAATTGACTCTTTACAAAACGACCTCCTCACCCAGCCCGGGTTGGGCCGGATATGGTAGAGGTTTTAAAACTTCTAGAATAAATAGTATGTGATTTAAATAATTTTAAAAATATATTATTTAAATTTAATAATAAATTATATATTACTATAAAATTATGTTTTTAATGTTATATAATTTTTAATAAAAATAATCAGATCAAATATGATCTTGAATTTTAAAATGATCTAATATATTAAAAATCTGATTACCTAAATATAAAATAATAATAATAATAATAATAAAAGTGGCGTTTCATGTGTTTGTTGTACAATAATGTTGGTTTCAACGTCAATGGTCCCAATCTTGAGGCTGCTTCCATATTTTCTCCATAAATTTGTCTTTCTAGAACAGCAAATTAAGATAAATATTGTACTTCAAAAGATTGTGAAATTAAGTTGGTGAGAGTTTATTTAGAGATTTGGGGTATACTGTATTTCAAAATCGTCATGCAGTTACGGTAATTATCTTTAGAGTCGTCTTTTTTTACAAATATTTTAAATAAGAAAATTTAAAATTATTAGAGCTAAAATAAAAAGAAAACAAAAAAAATGAGACACATGTTGTAAAAAAATTTATATTTTGGGTTTATTCATTTATTTTATTTTGATCTCTATTTTTATTTTTTTATTCTAATTTTGACAATTTTAAAAAATGCGATTAAAATCATTTGAAATAAACGATAACTTTAAGAATTGTTATAATTGTATGAAATGCAGGTCAAAATATATCTCATATCTGTAAATAGATCCCTACCAATCCTATTTTATTACTATTTTGCAAGTACACAATTTCTCTAATTTTATCTTTGAGTACATTTTTATTTTTTAGAAGAAAAGAAAACGTTTGGTGCTAGCTAATGAAAATTATAGAATTGTTGATTATTTTTGTTTTTAGATATATAAAATCTGAAGGGATGCGATGGGTACAATTTAATTAACAAAAACGCGTTTAACTTGTAATTTTAATTATTAAATTTTCAACCACTCCCTTTAAATATAAATATAAGAAAAGCAAAGATTCTTGAATATAATATTTTCATCACCAAACATACATTTGGCGTATGAAGGTAACCCTCAAGAGTTGAACATCAAAATTGTTTGCTTCTTCAGAATTTATGACACTTTTAGTTAGGTCCCTCTGAATTTTTTTGTGCCCTCAATTCTTTTTAAAAAAGAATTTATGAACATATATATATATATATATATTTACATATACCTGATTTCAAATCTCAACTTGAAATCATTCATCAAATCATTTATTAAATAATTTGATCTTTATTTTTTTTCCGTATGATTTTTTTATTAAATTTGAACCACGTGTTTCTTAACAACTATATTTCTTAACAACTACATGATATTTGTGTAATTTATAATTCATTTTTTGACATTAAATTTTCTCTTTGTATAAATTGGTTTTTTAACTTTATATTTTATTAATTTTATTCATCTGTTTTATAATTTTTTTTTCTTAATAATTTGTTGATTTCTTTATACTTCCATTAATGGTATCCTCAAAATTTACTTTTAAAAGATAATATTATAAATATATTATATAATATTTAATTTATAAAATAACATTATAAATGTTAGAATGATATAAAAATATACATATGCATGTTATATATAATTAGAGCATAGAGGGAGTTGCTAGAATGGAAATCTACTATTATTTTATAAATAATTATATGTAAATATAAATAAAAGCTAAATAAATATATTTAATCTGATTCTACTTAAACTTTATAAATTTAAATTAAATTTATATTTTTTTTAAATAATAAAATGATATTTTTAAGTTCGACTAACTTAATTTTTACACTGGAGATCGAATACCCACTTCAGTCAAAAGCCGAGGTTCCACCGAGTCTTGACACAAAAAGTGATATAAGCAAGCAGCCATGAATGAAGATGACGAGTTTGCTTTGCTAGATTTATTAGCGTATTGTTTCCATGGCGACTCCTCTTGCAGCATTACGTTTTCCCTCTGCCGCCTTACCAGCGCCACGAAAATACCTGTAAATTCTCTGTAAAAAAAAAAGAAAAAAAAAGAAAAAGGTTATTCTTAGAAATCCCCGGAGAAATCAAAACAAGCAATATATGCAACAAGAGAAGAGTTAAATGATTTCAAGGTGTTCGACGATATACCTGAAGGACCCACATGCTTAACAGTGTTTCAACACAGAATAACCCAAACCCAACGAAGTAGAATATCTGCAAATAAAAAAAGGAAAAGCATCAGCATTACCAGCAAAATGTTTTGATAAATTATGATTTCAAATCAAAGGAGTCCAGAGAAAGAAATGATCTTTAACTTTACCCCAACTAAAGCATTGTCGCTCATAACATTTATTGCACTCAAGAATCCCCTGCACCACCCATAACATCGTATTAAGTCTTAATCAAGATACGGAAATGTGTCGGTCACGAGTATATTAAAGTTGAAATACTCCTACCCAAACATAAGTCTGTTGGTGGGAGAAATGGGTTATTACGGGTTTTAAACGGTTCGGTAATTTTAGTTTGTACAGAGAATCATAATCGGTGTTTCGCCTTAGTTGTAAAAGATGATGAATAGGGAATCGATTGAAAGATAAAAGTTCAAGATTAACAGGAGATAGTAATGTCAAATAATAAATTCAACTTTGACAGATTACGTGGTTAGTAATCGATCATGACACTAGAATGTAATTGGTTAGAGGATATGAAATTTCGGATGTTTCGAGGAATTCTAGAGTTCCTCTAGAGGCCTTGATTATCAGGAGAGATCCGAATGAGGTATAACAAGGTCGAATATAAATCCCGACCCAAATACTTAATTGAGTTCAAACATGTTTTGTTATCAGTTCAAGTAACTTACGGGAATGATAATCCATCGTAAACTATAGGTGGAGCAATCGAAGCATAGATGCAGAAGCAAATATGTATCTGTAAGCCAGAATAGAAAAAGGGTATAAAATAGATAGTTATAGGAAGTTGGCAAGGGTTACGAGTCACCAGATACATAAAATGGTGCGCATTACCATATAAAACATGAAAAACCATCCAAACCTAAACGCACTGTCTTTCCTGCAATATGATTATAAGAAGATAACTCATTAAACATCACAAAGATAAACGAACTTAATTCAAAATGATCGAACGGGGTTTTAGTTAGTACCTGCAAGCTCGATAAAGCGGACGATACCATAGAAAATAGGCGCCTGGTACACCTATGATGAAATAGATGACTGCCATGAGCCATATCTTTACGCCTAAAAATGTTCAAGATTTAGGAGTTATCAATTAGAATAAAAAGATTATAAAAAGGAACATAAAATATAACAAAAATCCCAGGAGGAGCAAAGAGGATTCTAATCCAACCTTTCCCTTTGATGCTTGCTGTGGAAACAGCAATGACATTCCAGAAAAGACACAGGGTCAACCCTGCATAAAGTTAACATTCATCATTTTCCTCGTCTGGTATCCTAGGTATTTACTCGGACTCGTATGCAAGTGTTGCAACATAAGTTTCGAACACGATAATTCAACAAAAAATCAAGAAACAAAACAACATAGATTTGAATCTAAGTTTGGCATTTTGAGATGTAGCTTGTATACCTAAGAAAGACACAGGGTCAGTCCTGCATAAAATTAACATTCATCATTTTCCTCTTGTCTGGGGTCCTAGGTGTTTACTCGGACTCGTATGCAAGTGTCGCAACATAAGTTTCGAACACGATAATTCAAGAAAATATGAAGAAACTACACAACATAGATTTGAATCTAAGTTATGCAGTTTGACAAGTAGCTCTCATACTTAAGAATGACACAGGGTCAGTGCTGCATAAAATTAACATTCATCATTTTCCTCTTGTCTGGGGTCCTAGGTGTTTACTCGGACTCGTATGCAAGTGTCGCAACACAAGTTTCGAACACTATAATTTAACAAAAATGAAGAAACGAAACAACATAGTTTCAAATCTAAGTTATGCATTTTGACAAGTAGCTTGCATACCTAAGAAAGTGGAGAAAGCTACATATTGCATTCGGTGTAGATAATTTGGTATCTCATTTGCAATATCATGGTGAATGACTGGGAAAAATGGTGGCCAATTTCTCACATCCAGAAAAACCCCAGCTGCAACAATAAAAGCAGATGATGTAAACAAGTTCCACTGCAAATTTAATGACAAATACCCAGAAAAGAAATATCTGCAGAGGCTGACCAAACTTTAATGACAAATATTACCTTTTGCTAGAGCTTCTTCTTTCTTTTTAACTTCCTGCATGCATATCCCCAAAAGATAATAATAAGAATTTTGATCAAGGGCAATGCAAGGTCTCATCCAGTGCAAAGCAGGAAATCTGTTTTAGGTGTAAGAACTGAAATTTAAATTCTTACGATTAAAAGTATAATTTTACCATTGTAATAATTTATAATTTCAGAAATTTGAAGGGACTAAAGAAGAATTTTTCTCATTTTAATGCCACCCCTATGGTAAAGGCTATTTTTTAAAGTACATATACAAAATTTAAAATATAACAATAATATTATTATGAAAAATTAAAAAAACTGTGTTAAATTACTATTTTAGTCTTTGTGTCATCGTTAAATTTGAGATTTCTTTACATTGGTTTTGGTCCCATACTGTTATTAGTACGAGAAATCAATCTAAATTGTTAATGATGATAAGATTCCATTAACTATGAGGTTTACTTTAGTCAAATTAAAATAAAAGAATTAAATCTACTTCTGAAGATAATAGAAGGACGAATATAATAATTTGACCAGGATTTTAACATGTTTGTAAAGGAATTAATTACCTCTTCCCTAATTTTGAGTTCAGCCTCCTTGGCTTGGAGTTCTCTCTCTTTCTGCTTCAAAGTCTACATTTCAAGCATCAGAATTAATACACATATTCAAAGAAAATTGATGTCACAATTTCGGTCATATTATAACAGCTTTTAAATTCATTGCAACACTACAATGGCATATATTCTTAATTTAAAGATATTATAAATTTTAAAAAATTATGTCGTAACGTCTGTAATCATGTCCGAAATAAATACTATAACCGTTATTTAATAGTATACTATAGTCTATAGATTACCGTTGCTTTATCGAGAGACATGTTAATGGCTGGATTGCGATCATAATTGTAGCTGACTGGTTCAGGAGGAAGAGCCGGTAGCCTTGAGTGTGAGTTATGTGAGGGGTTCTGCAAGTTTTACATCCGTGAAACTATAATCAGAATCGATCATTATAATGTACAAATCGATAATTAGAATAAATTCAAACAGAAGATTTAAACCTCCAGAAACTAATGATGTTATTGAACTTGATAGTCATAAAGATGAAGAGAAATGAAACTCACAGAAAAAGGGTTGACATCATCATCTTCCTCGGCAAAAGGGTTCCTATCGCGGTGAGCAGACATGGGTAATTGGGCAAAGCTCCCAACGGTGAGTACTCCGATGGTCTAAGAACCTAAAGGGAAGGGGGAATGGTGAAGGCGGCATTTTCGATACCAAGGGAAGTGGTGTTATATAGAAAGACAAAATAGAAATTTTTGTCTTCTCCTTCAGATGTACCAATCCGCCATTCCGTTGAAGCCAAGATGAAAAGGAATATATTATGGGCCGGAAAGGACGGCATAGTAAATGAATATTCTAGTCTTTTTCTTATATATATTTGTGTAATAAATGCGGATTCATCGAAGAGATTATTGGTTCTATAGCTTGTTTCGTTGCTTTTGTTGGACACTGGCCTGGAAAATTGTACAATATTATCTCAAAAGAAATTGCATGCTATGATGGTAGATACAAGTGCTAAAGCTCAGAAAAAGTTATGAGCAATGATACATGTTGCTAAGAAACACAGGGAGAAGACAGATTTTATCTCCTACTTTCATAACATAATCGATCATTTGATCTTCTATTTGAACTAAAAATGATAAATTATTAGTTTAACCTCCTCATTTTTCACCATTCAAACTATCATCTCATCTATTATATATAAACACATATATTCTACATTTGATCGGAAATTACCTATTAAGTTGTAACTTTAAACGTAAATATTTAATAATAATTGTATTCTTAAGATTTTAAAAAAGTTAATTTTTTTATTATTTATATTAATATCTTAAGGAAATTTTTAAAACTGTATATATATCATATTATGTTATATATTTATTTAGTATGATTTTATACATAAACTATTAAATGTAAAAATAATTTTTTAACAAATTTTAATTAAAAAGATTAAATAAAAATGACGTTTTTAAGTTTCATCTGTTTTATTTCAAGGTGTATACACTGTAAATGAAATGAGAAAGATTAAAAGTATTTTTCTATAATAAACTTTTACAATATCAAAATAAAATGCTCAATCTGAATTAATCTGTTAATTACAGACTAGATGCTAATGGTTATAAAAACAAAGAAATTATTAATTTTAAATTTAAATGAATTGATAGAATTAATTTCATTTGAATTTCATGAAATTTTAACTAGATTGATATTATGTAGAAATTACTTTTAGATATATATTAATTTGCATTTAAATAAAATAATAAAAATATAATTTTATTAATTTTAAAAGTTTAAAGAATATTTCAGTCGTTCACCTTTAAATCTTGTTGTGAAGTTCATTTTCATCATTGTTGATATTTCCAGAACAACTTGTAGAACACAAAGGGTTTATCTTTCTTTTTCACTGATTAACGTTAGTTTTGCAAGTTAAGCTGGAGAAAACTTCTACGCGATATGATGATAACTAAACATTTTTCTACATTTAGAACACTGGGCTACAACAGGGTTTCATAATCGAACACGAAAATGATTGACATACATTATACAACATGATCACCGAGCTCGGGTCGTCTTTATTCCATTTGTTCGAGTTTCGGACTTTTGATTTGCCGGTCCGCTGCCCACATTTCTTGTCCGGGGAGCTGAAACCTTCTTTGTAACAGCAAAGACTCCACCGATGCAGGAGAATCGGCTTTAGTTGTCCTTTTACTCCCATTATGAGAAGTCCCAAGTATGGGATTCCCGTCGTTGGACACATTCCCCAGCGGTTTGAGGTAACCAGCACAAACACTCCGGGGCTTTGCAGGAGGGTTATGCATAGGCTTGCTGGAGGGAACAGCGGTGCTGGGAACTCCGAATTCGTTGAAATGTTGTCGCAAAGTTGCAGTGACAACATGTCTCAGACGTAGTGCGGATTTATATTCCCAAGTGTTCTTGGAGTAAAAAATCAAGGCATTATTGGCAACCAATAACATATCACGGAAGAGTTCTCGAACAGAAGAGATCAAATTACCAGAAATTCTTGATCTAATGGTGTCGAAATCCACGTGCTGCAGGATCAATTTTTTGTATCTTCCTCTTTTCTGGGTGAAAAAAGAGCAATCCATTGATTATCTATATATCAAATGCTTACTGTAACCGGAAAGCAGATTGATAAAAAATTATCGACATGTTTAATGGACTAAACCGAGAATATTTTACTTTACCTGGCTATCAAGCCTTCGTCTAAAGACGGATGCACAGTCATTCTCCGCGACAGAAATGAATATTCTCATTATATCATCAATCCCTTCCTTGTTTGAACCTCCGCTCTGATCCTCGACACCTGAAATTTTGGCAATCTGAGAAGAGTTACTAGCCGGAGTTTCTTTGCAATCCGAGGCACTTGCAACATCATTTGAGCATAGAAACTCGCTTTCCCCGACACTCCCTTCTTTGGCATCCTTACTGCAATCCTTTCTCTTTCGTTTCCCTCTCCTCTTCCGTATACTTGGCAACTGTCCTCCACAGAGGGTATCAACCAGCTTACCGATGCTTGAAAATTTATCCCTCTCGGAGGTCAATGCATCACCTACTGGCTTGGAATCCATCTCTTCAGCAGGAACTGTAGCCGGAGTCTTACAATCAGGTGTCCAGTTTGTCTCGGCTTCCTGTGTGAAACTACAGGCAGAAAGACCATCCTTATATGCATCCTTACTGGAAAACTCAAATCCTTCGGATTTAGGACATGGTGAGGCTGATTCTGTAGGACTGGAATCGTAATCAACCCTCAAATCATTTCGTTTCTCAGCTTTTAAGCTTTCAAGCTTTGATTCCAGAGACCTGAGGAGTAGAATAAGTCCAGATTAATATACACACGATAATGCAAGTTTTTACAGCGTAAAAATTCCAAAGAAACCAAGATCAAAAGCATAAATTTGCACGAGCCCTAGTTTAAAACAAAATGCAGGTCCATGTACTTGGAAAGTTCTGAAATTAAAAGCTCACTTTTCACCAAGTTCGAACCAATATGCAAACAAAAGAAGAGTAACTAAGAATCTATGCTCTGTACATGGTTTAAAACCGGATAATTTCCTCAAGGAATTTGGTAAATTGGAACTCCGATGGCCAAATCAGTAGACAGATTACGAAAGAAGAGTGTGAGGACAAATATTCAAACTACAAATTACAATGCATGCCCCTAAGAGAAATAAATGACGTGCTGATGAACTATCTGATTAACTACATCCTGGTTAGAAATAGAGGCAAATCACTCACCCAATTGAATCATCGGATTTGTCTAAAGCTCGCCTGAGTTCTGCCATTCGTTGTTTAAGTAACTCCTCGAACCAAGCTCTAAAAGAATCATGCTTCAGAACGTAAACCATGCAAATAAAAAGAGAAAGAAATATTAGAACAAACTCGGGACGGGATAACTCACTTGCAACCTGAGTAACGTCGTTGCATATCCTCATACTTGGCTTTACAAACCTGCATTCATATACGAACTCCGTTAAACGAAATGTACAAAAGTAAAATCAAGTAATTCAATACACTGAATAACAACAGGTATATAATTCTATAACTCCTTCCCATTTTTAAACAAGGAAAGTTCATCATAATCCAATTAAATACACATCCTTAATCATATAGTTGAATTATAAAGGCCTCAATTGATACCAGACTACCAGTACATGTGAAATACAATTGACAGAAACTTAAAGCATTCACTATAAATAGGTTAAGTGCACAGCAAGATACAGATAAACGTCCTATGAACCAAACTACCTTCCTCAATACTTGATGAAGTCCGGGAAGCAAGACTCGAACCTTGAACCTTTTTGTCAAACATTACCACGTTAGGCGAAGATTGTGGCAAAGACAAAGTTCAAGGTTAAGCATTAGTTGAGGCTAATCAAGAAACACTAAGTGGATAACAATAGCTGCCACAATTAGCATTAATTGCATCCTATCATCCTATGTTATACCGACACGGACACGTGAATAGTGTCGGATTCTTGGATTAGATGTCGAAACGTGAATGCTTCAAGAACATCGGAGAGTCAAAGTAACTGTTAACCCTCATGTCCTAAAATTTTCCACTTTCCTTACTCCTCTCTATGTCCTAAAACAACATTTTTATAGTAAAAGGTACAGTTTGGTATTGTTTGGGAAAGTGATTTTGACAGGGCCTTTACCCATTAGTTAACCATAGTATAGTAATTAATAATGATTAAGAAGTACTAAACTATAATTAATAATCAAAATCATGAAAATAGAAAATCATTTCTTTAATGCTAAAAAATACGGATTAAACAAAGGGAAGATAACATTATACTGGATCATATAAGAAATATTTCTTTAATTGAATTACTAAAGTATTAATCGGACAATAACCTCGGGAGTCAAGGCAAAGGGAGAAATGGTTCGGGTTCGGAGCTCCGAAGCGACGACGTCCCAATCTCGGGTACCGTGGCGGATAACCGCCCCGCCTAACAAGAGCTCCTCCCAAGTACTCCACGTCCTCGTTATCATCTCTGGTCCCATGTACACGCGTACTACCCACGACTACTTCAAAGAAAAGCGACGGCGACGGCGACCCACCACCGGGAAAATTAAATTAAATCAAAAACCTCATCGCCTTATCCAATCCGGCGGCGTTAGCCAATGCCACCCTCTTTAAAAAACGAATGTTGAAACTCCTTTCAAAGGATATATAAAAGTTTTCAAATTTTAATGCTAACCAAATAGAAAAGAGAAGTTGTAAGTGAAATCAGCTAAGAAATAAAGAGAATTTGTGGAATAATGTAGAAGAATTAACGGTAAATTACACCGAATGGTCATTCAATTATTACTAAGAGAATAAGCAGGTTATTATATTTTAAAAAATTATAAATGAATCACTTTATTAATTGATGATCATTACGTTAAAAATAAAGCGAACATTTTATTTTATAGTTATAATAATATCAATCTATTTATTAAGTATAACAATCAAGTGACTCAATTATAACTAAAAAGCTAAACTCATTAAATGACCACAAAAGTAAAATGAGTGTTGTTCTCTCTAGAGATATCAAGTTTGAGTAGTTACATCTGCAGAGTATGTGTGCATTGTTAATAGGTTAAAAAAAATCTGAACTTTCAATCGATTAATAAAATAACTTATTTGTAATCTTTTGAAATTCAATGACTCATTTATAATTATATGAATAGTTGAGTGATTTATGGTATAATTTAACCAAGAATTAAAGAGAGAAAAATAAATAAATCAAAGATTTCAAAGATGATTTTTTTCAAAGATTGGATATTTTTATAGATAGAAAAACGTGGAACTTTGTTTTATTTTTCTTCGATTGCGTTTATGAATAATTGGTAATATTAATATATATTATTATTAGTTTATCTTTTGTATATTATTTTAGTTTTTTGTAAGTAAAATACATTATAATTTGCTCAATTATTAATAATATTATAAATGGATAACCAAATTTAAAAAAAGTTATAAACGGTTTATTCAATTAATAAATTGTAAAAAACATTACACCTTATTATTAAAAATTAAAAAAAAATAATGATAAAGTGATATGTTTATCATAATCTATTAATTGTGTGACTTATTTGTAGCTTTTTGAAATTTAATGATTAAATTGTAATCTTATTATAATTTATCAATAGTGTGTTTTACCCATATTTTTTTTTGTTTTGGGTAAGAAACAGAGGCGCTGTCGTTTCTTTAACATCTCGATTTTCGCACACTGAAATGGCCTGATTGTTTTTGTCATAATTAGGTGTATTCGGTTCGGTTAGGTTTAATTTTTTACCAAAAATTAAATCGAATCGAAATAAGTGATTTTTTAAAATTTAATCCGAAATCGAAATCGAATGGTTAAAAATCGAAAAAATTAAAATTGGTTTTTTCGGTTCGGTTCAGTTTTTTAAATGGTTCGGGTTTTTTCGGTTCGATTTATTGGTTTTTCAATGAAAAATCACTTGAAACTATAATTTTTTTTAAAAAAAATTGTCTATTCTGTTCAATATGGAACAAATGAGTTCTATATGGAAAACCCGAACCGAACCGAATCAAAAGAATTGAGACTTTAAACCAACCCGAAAACCGAACCGAATCGAATCATTTTACTCGATTCGTGTCGATTTTTTCGATTTTTTCGATTTCGTTGCTTAACCCAAGACTTATATCACAGGTATTTTTGTTTTAGGTCAACTCAATTTAAATGTTAAATATTTTTTAAATATTTTCGATTGAATATAATTTAAATGTTAATTTTATAATATTTTATATTATAATTGGAAATGTTAATATTTGAATATTTTCGATTATAATAAAAAATATTAAAATATTAATATTTTAGGTTACGAAAATGTTAAAAAGTTAATCTTTTAAATTGCACTCAATCAGAAATGTTAATTTTTTTTAATATTTTCAATTACGTCTTTTCTTAATTTTAAATTAGGTTATCGTTCTTTATACATTTATCATATCTACTTTACTTTGGTTTCTTTAAGTTTATAATAGGGTATATCTTTTTTTTAACATTTAAACATGTAGTATTCGATTCTTCGAGTAAAAAAATGACATGAATTTTTAGAAAACTTCGAGATAGATTAAATATCCATTTGTCGAGTACTCAAAATAATCATACTGAGTCGTAGGATATTCGAGATTATTTTGTAACCTTCTTTTACAAATCATATAATTTAGAAAACTTCACATAGATAAACATAAATTTTAAATATTTAAATTGTATAAAAATATGCATATAAATGAATATTTTAATAATTAATTATTTATCAAACTAATTCAATATCATCGATTTTCAATTTAATTGATCCATCTAATCAATTCAATTAAATGCTATTTTAGGTTTTTAAAGACATATTAAAACATCAAAGCTTTATTAGAATAAAAAAATAGTTATAGAATCATAACTGTATTTTTATTATTATTGAAAAAAATCCTATCTAAGGAGAAAGAGAAGATAAATGTTACTCTTAGAGACCATTAAATTTATAATCCAAAAAAAAATGTAACTAAAAGTTTTTAACCACTTACTATAGAGATTACTGACAAATGTAATAATACTCTAAATAAATATGTAACCCCCAGATCGATGCGGATAGCCCGATCCGATCCGGGGTGTCACATTAGGGTCACCGGAGCGACCAACTGTAAAAATGGCGGAAAATTTAAAACTTTTATTAAAATATGTAACTTATAAAATGATTTATCAGTATGCAGAAATAAAACAGATTTCCAGACTCGTATATAAATCAAAATACAATTACATGCCCCCTAAACACATGTACCATACTCTGCAACAACGCCGGAAGAACTCCCTTACTGAAGTCGATAGCTATATTGGTTCAATTCTTTTAACCTGTAATGGTGAGTAATAGAGTGAGCTTCGAAAAGCTCAGTAATACAGAACTACCAGATGATGCTACATGACATACAAATAAATGGGAAGCCATAATTTCCTTATTGAATCAAACGTATACCAATTGCGAAATAATCAGGGGTTCCATTAGTAGTTCATCGAGTAGAAGCCATGAATCTCAGTTCATAAGAAACCTTTCATACTATCACGTTTTCATGAGGTCGAATAGGATGCTTAGTGTGTTCCATCAGTACGATAAAACCATAATAGGTACACTAATCAAATGATAGTTCAGTAAAATCCCATAAACCATACTGTAGTGGAGCTTTTTAAACTCGTATTTTAAAACCATCTTACAAAGAGTTAACCTAAGGGATCATCTTAGGGCCTTAGAGCCTACCCAAGATAGATTTCAGGGCCGCAGGGCCTACCCGAGAATGATCTCAGGGCCGCAGAGCCTACCTAAGAGTCACATTAGGTCCATAAAAATTTTCCAGCTTGATCAGAGCTGTACTTTACAAATCTGTATCTCCAAGATAAAATTTATACAATGATACAAATCCATAAGCCATCACCGTTAAGTCGGTGCATCCATAAAACAATAACCATAGATTTCAGTGTACCACATGTTAAAACAATAAAACAATTTTTCAAAATATAAGGAACACACTAAAGAATCCAATTATTTTTCAGATGCATTTTGTAGTTATCAATATGGATAACATGAACTTGTGCAATTTGATCGGATTCCAATAATAAGATCTTATTGAAGAGAATCGATTTCTAACCGATCTAATCAGACATTTCAGATTGATACTTTTAGAATTCCACTAAGTTTCTATATGCATCAGGAAAACGTTCAGGAACCTTTATACAGAATAATTCTAAATTTAGATTTACTACGAGTGATTCCATTACCCAAACAATCAGGGGTATTCAGGAATATACTTTGAATTCATAGGTTTTCAGCCCAATTGAACCAAATGAGGTATTCAGAATCTTTTCCTTCTGCATTACTTGCGTTTTTCAACATGACCGAAGTGATTTTAGATGAAAATATAGAATCGAAGATTCAAGTCATTTACAATCTATGACTATCGATCATATTATCAAACAACTCGAGTTATCCTTCCAGTGTATTCACTCTTTAATACCATAATGCAGATCCATAGATCATCCCCATAATCATCATTGAATAAATCTTCCAACGGTCTTTATTTCATTTCCACGTTTCAAAAATATCAGGAAATACGGACATACTTGATCCATGGCTCATAACCCATAAGGACAATTCATCATGTAAGTTCAACAGTGTTTCCAAACTCATCCAATCACCTATTTAATCCTCAATCATAGATGTTACTTAGTTCGTTTAGTAAGCAAGTCTATCCTGATTACTTTAAAGTTTTCCAGAATAATTCAGACGTTTCTAAATTTCAAATACATGTTGTACTTCATTTCGGTTCAATTTATTCATATAATAAAGTTATTCTGGTATTCGTGGTTGATTTGACTCACGAATACCCACTTATTAGTACTATATGCGCTCTAGAGTTGAGCTAAGCCAAGTACTTCCAGAATTACCATCGATCCAAATTTGAGAAGATGAACAAACATTCAAGTGGTACTCATTCAGGTAATGATATAGCACTAACGTTGGTTGATCACTTAAGCTGCGTTCCATAACTTTTACTGGTAGCACAACATCCATGTTTATTTGGATTTCTTAATTAATCCAAGACATTTACTTATTATAGGTCATAAGGGCATTTTGGTCATTTTGGTCATTTTGGTGCTTAACGTTTTTCCTATTCATTTCAAAGCTTGAGTATATTCATTCATTCCTGAGCTTAGTGACATTCTTGAGTCATTTCCATTTCAGGGGTATTTTGGTCATTTGACAAATCTAGAATATTTCAATCATTTCTTTCCGTTCGGTCTTATTATTTAATTCAAACTTATCATTTATGTCAGTCCCTTTGAACTATTCTAACAAAATATCACCATTGATAAATTATTATTCTTCACGTACTTACTCAAGTCGAAGATTTCCAAGTTAAATGCCTTCTCAGATGTTACTAACGGATTATCAGAATTTTCCATACAAAAATAGGATCTCAACAATCAAATCAGTAATTTATCGGTTTAAAAACAAATTCTCATGTTACTTCCTCATTCAGAGTCAACTTGGACTATTTTTACCTCTCAAGGGCATTTTCGTAATTTCTTAATCAGATAATTTCGATATTAACTCTTAACGAAAATAATTATACTTTAGAGATCCAATGGATAATTGCTTTCCCGAACATTCTTTGATCTTGAAATGATTCCTTAACA